ATTTTAACGTGATACATTTAGGAGTCAGGAAATTCCAACTAAAAGATAAGAATTAATATTTGAAAATCCCAAAATCAAAATTTCACCAAATCAGGAAACACAGAATTAAAAATCCACAGTCAGCTGTGAATTCCTTTTACATCCCTGTACCTGGTAGAAGGCGTCCAGTGAGCTGTGTGGATGTAAATTATGCTTACCCTAAAAGATTCATTGGTGTTAGTCTTGCCCTTGCCTGGCAATCTCCTTATGCTGCTGAGAAGCCTTGAGTGAGTGTTGGTACCACACTACTGCCTTCATAGCACCAACCCAACATTAGTGTGTGCTGCTCAGAAAGTGTGTGTCTCTGTCAGGGAGATGCTGGATTGAAAGCTGGGTCATGAAATAAATGTAGCAACTGAGCCCTTCACTGCAGAACCCTCTTTGTTCAGTATCTCTCAGCCACTTTCCCTATCTTACATTTTGAGACCTTGACTTGACAATCTGCTCGGAGCCACACTGACCCCATGATGTGTTTGCTAGCAAGTGTCTTTCCCCTCCTGAGAAAGCAGAAGGCATGTTGCTAAGGCTTCCCACTGTTTATAGGATCAATCCATGTTGCTACAATAGATCTTTGCCTCTTTTTTTATACCACTTGGCACTGGCTTTCTCTCTGCTTTTACACTTTCCACTTTAGCTGCTGCGTAGCAGATAGGAAGCCATGGCTGCCTTGTGGCACAGACAAAGATAGCACGTGCCCAGTAAAGGGAATTAGGAGAGAAGGTGGGGTCTGCCCAGGCCCACTTCTCCACCAGTGAGCTTCAGATGGCATCACCAGCACACAGGAACAGGAAACCCATGCTTCCATCCATCTTCCAGCCCAGCCCTTGTCCTTCTCCCAGTGCTCGTATCAGCTGTAACAGGAAGAACACAGCACTAAGAGTGTGTCAAGAGGGAAGTGATTTCTGAGTGCTGTATTGAGACAGACTTGCACAATTAGGAGTAAATTCTGTTAGTTTAGATGGAAAGTTGACCAATGTTCTTCTGTTTACAAGAGGCTGGGAAGTGGCCTGTGAAGTTTGCTCATCTTTTAATTTCAAGAAGTCCTTTTTCCTTGGTGAAGGCTTTTGGAAGGTCCTTTACCGTTCACATAGTAAGATGTGGTGGTAATGACTTGAATGATACAAGTCTGAACAGCAGTGAAATACAAGAAGCCAAAACTACCTTAACAAATACGGTTCATTTAACTAAAAGAGGCAGACTGAGCAGCAGGTGGAAGGGTTAAACAAAAGGAAAAAAGATTATAGGAGTTTGCGGCTTTGGCTTCACTACAAATGGCTCTCTTGCAGACTTTATAGCATTAGTGTTGCTTCTCATAAACCTTGAAACCATTCATCCATTTAGAAAGATTAAATTGGTTAGTCATCCAGAACATAAAATATACACATCCATTTTGTCTGTTACCCTAAACCATCTGAAGTATAATAAATGCAGCTGATGCCATTAAACTAAAGCATTGAGTATTAATGATGGCCTCAGTTGTGGTATTTACAGTTTGCCAGCTCTTGTGTTTCTGATAGTATATTCATCTGTTGTTGCTCAGGGACGGTAAGAGCAGTCTTTGAGTTGGAAAACACAACTATAATATATGATGTGAGGGGCTCAGAGAAAACATCTTGGTATTAAAGCAGGGAAAATCCTAGAAATGTTACCTTTTCTGTTATTCTTAGAAGGTCAAAGTTAAGAGGCACAAACTTCACTTACGGTATCTTGATATATCTATAATGGTCTGTTACAGTCTGCAAAGACCCGTTTGTTTGGTTTTCTAGTTACAGATGAAGCTATTGCTATTTAAAGTTCTGTTCTGCCACTGAAACAAGCTAGACAGAAATGGCCAGACTCTTCTAAAGCAAGAGTCTGTGGAGGCACTTGGTCAGGAAGCAGGTTAATGTTTAAAAGCATAATAGAGGTCTAGATTGGATTTAGCCGTAATTTTTCTTGGTTAATATCAGGATTTCAGCAGCAGTGCTCTTTCCCCAAATGAAGCAAATTTGCAATGGTTGCTTCAGAATACAAAACAATTTAATTCCTGCTGCTTTGAATTATGGAAGACATTATCTCAAATGCAGGGATTTTGCAGTGTGCTGGCAGAAACATTGACATGTTTTTTAATTACTGCATATAGTGATTTTAATCAGAGCATCCAGCTTGACAGCATTAAAACTGGGAAGCAAATCCTGTCTGAGTTTCCAGTTCTATGCTGGAAATGCCAGCTCATTCCTGTAGGGATCAGGAATCAATGCTCCTCCCCTTTCACTCCCCACATTTGCAGCCTCAGCCAGAGGCTGCTCAGGAGGATGGGGGTATTTGCCATGAGCACAGCAGATTCTGCATCAGACCCTGTGTTAGGTTTAGTTTGCATTTCATTTTCTGAAGCATTTGTGGTGGCACAAAGAATAACAAACCTCTCCCCACACCCTCGCCATTTGTCTTTTACTGCAAATACAAATTGCAAAGCTACCAGGAGTGAGAGAGGTGATCTGAAAGAGGCAGAACCTCATAAATTGTTTGTGTGGGAAAGGCTGTCTTTCCTTTCCTCTAACTGATGGCATGCCAAGTTTATCTTACAGTATTTACAGTAAGATTTGTTTGTTTTGATACCCTTTGTGTGTTGTTAGGGAAAAGGCAGAAGAAAATCTCCAGGAAGTTTTATAGTTTCTGATGGAACAGAGTTCAGAGTTTAATTTTCTTTCTACTCCTATGCATTTTATTAGAAGCGTAGTGTATAAAGGGATATGAGATGGCAATTGGATGAGTTATTACTGAGCTGTCATTTCTTTTCTCTATATAAATGTGGTGTTTAAGAAAGACCTCAGACCGGCAGGCTAAGACAGTGGAATTGTTAGTTCATTCCAAGAGCAGATACAGGATGGGCAGGAACAGCGCCGGTTTCTCCTTCTGCGTCTCATCTCGGACCTTGGCACATCCTCCAGGAGCAGGAAGAACGTGCAGTCTCTGCCTGTTTAGCTGAGATCCAGACAGATGACAAGGAGAACAAATTCCTCCGTGACGGAGCGATCCCCGGTGTGGCTGTACAGGCAACAGATTGTCTGCACGAGGGCTAACGTCAGAGCCTGCCAGCTCCAGCACGCAGCTCTGGAGGCAATGGACTCTGTTCTGAAGAGAAGCTTTGGGTCTCCCTCAGCAGACAGGCCTGCAGGCCAAGCACCCCTGTGTTACAAAAGGACACCACAGCATCCCCAGTCCTCAGTACCTGAATGTTGACCTTCTGGCTGTTAAATTTGGGTGTTCCCATTAACAGACCAAATACCTTGGTGCTAATGGGTAAATTGTCAGCACAGTGTGAGGGCCCAAGGTTGATCCTCAGCTTCAGGGAAACTGCTGTTTTAAAGTGAGTAAACTCGTAAGATTCTGGAAAGGGAATGACTATTGCCCATCTTTTCCAGCACAAGAAGTAGAGGGTGTCAGGTGAAACTATTGGGCACCTTCCAAATACCTGGAAGAGACAACCAGTGGCAGTTCCTAATCACACAGGAAACTGCTGGTGGAGGTGGGAGAAATTTCTTACATGCCTGCTTTGATCTCATTTCTGTTCTCAGTCAGCACTTAGGCAGAAGGAACTGCTCACTTAATTTACAGTGTCTTTAGAGCCTGCAGAGCAGGTCATCAGTTGGTATGAAAAGTCCTGACAGGGAGTCAAGTAGAGCTTGCTCCACTGAAAGAGAAATAGAGATGTTTGGTTTTAATGCCAAAGTCTCAACTGTTTGAACCAAACTTCTGAACACATCATGGGGTCTTGGGTTATGGTAGGAGTTGGGAAATAAGAGACTAAGGGTGTATTTTATGTGCCATGGCAAACAGCACAGAATTGTCTTAATCTCTCTCCAAACTTTGCTGTGAAATACTGGGTAGACACAATGCCCTTTCTCTGCCTGGTATAAGCGTTCTTTAGGCACTGCCATGTGTGACTGGGGATGAAGCATGATTGCCAGATGTTAGAAGCTGTTCCTATAGAGCTGGGAAGGGATTTTCCTAAGGGCAGAGTGTCTTGCTGACCCCCTTTCATCCCTGTTAATGGAGCAGCTGTCCCCTCCCTGGCAATTCCCTTAGCAGGATGATATATACAAGATGAATGTGATAGCTGTGTAGACATGGCCTCCCCTTTGCAAAGGTCAACTTGATGTATAAACCATCAAGCAAGGAGGAATATTTCATGGTCACTAAGTCTCTTTAGGCAAAGCTAATACCAGGAGATGCTGGCACAAGTAGTCACAGTTTAGTTTACACCTGTCAGAAGCGGGCAGCCTCTCAACTCCTCTGTTTGGGCGAGTGTATTCATCATGTTTAGCCTTTATACAATATTCTTTTCATCTTCCCTGCACTTCACAACTCTTAAGTAATCCCACAGCACCCAGGGGTTACTAGCAAGGCTTTACAAGGGAAGGCGGAAATGAGCAGGAAGAGGTCAAATGACTGGGCCAAGGTCATGGAAGAAATTGTCTCTAAAGAACATTAGGTTCTACAAGATTAAAGTGGTGTTAACTGGTGTGTCCTTGGTTGTCAGCATCTTTGGAGGGAGGGGGTGTTCCTTGGGGGGCTGTTTTAACATTGTCTGGTGTATTTCGAGCTCCCCTCTCATCTGTCCCCTTTAGCACTTTGGTTTTTTTTTTTTCCTGAGGCAAATGGAAGACAGAGGAGTTTTGTCTTCAGAGGAGGGTGGGGAATTTCCAAGAAGGGAGAATGTCTCATATTCTGGAACATCTATGCACCTTTTGATTTTGCAATGACAAATGGGGGCATCTGACTAATGAAATTAATGGATTATTCTTTCAAGTCATTGCAAAGATCCAGATACCCAGTTCACTTTAAAAATGAAAGTCTTCCTTGTCCGTAACCCATAGGCCTTTTAAAGTTCTATAGCAATGGTGATAACAATCCCATGACTTACCTGACAGTAAACACTGCAAGTATAGAATACGCTCACAGTGCTTTCTTCTCCCTAGGACTTGAAAGATGATCGAAGTGATGAAGAGGAGGAAGATTCTGTTACAGATAATGAAGAGGAGTCCATAAAGAATGGCAACAAGAACAGCTGTGGGTCAAGCAAACATCTCCTAAGCAGCAGTCACCACTAGCCCCTTTCTGCCTCACCTCCTGCAGTGATTTCTGCTCTGGTTTTAACCCAACCTACAGGATAGAATTTAAGTCAAAATTCTTATGAGAGACTGTGATTGATTTATTGTTGGCTACTGGACCTGGAAAAAAGCCCAGTCTAGAGGGAAGGGAAAAATTGTGTAACGTGTTAATGACCCGCTTTGAGAATCATTGTGAAGTGTTGGGAAAGATGTTTGGACACACTGAGTGACAGTGCTCCACAAGGTCAAAGCTCAAGAGCCTCAGATCATTTAGTGTCCCAATTCTAACACTGTTTTTCAATCTGGTATAAGATCTGTTTCACCAAATGGTTTAATTCGCAGATGTTTTGTGGTAGGTAAGGAGTGTGAATTCCATTAGGAACCAAAATTACTCAATGTGGGAAAAATTTGACAGTGGTGTACAGTGCATTTTAGTCTTTAGTTTTCAGTTTAAACCCTCATCAAAATAGCTATTTTTTGGGTTAGATTTCATTTCCTGGAGGCCAGTGGAAGCTAACACAAAGGAAGACAAATTACTTGCCTCTGAAGAGCTGGCTTCACTGCAGAAATATAGTCTTTCTCCAAAATATGCTGTATGATAGATGGCTCAAAAATTGTGTTCTGAGATTTACCTGTCAAGGAAATCACTGTTAAAATAGCAAAACTCAGCCTCAATTCTCCATTGGGCTCTGGGTTTCATCTCTGTCATTCTGGCCTCGTCTTAGGAGCAAGTCCACTAAGTTCTGTTTTGTGGTTCCTGTGTGTTCACTGCATGTATCTGGGCTCTGGGGGAGCATGGGACTAACAGGGAATGTCATGTTGTCAGTGCTGTGAATTCATTTGATACCAGGATCTGTATTTCTATCTCTGCTCTTTCTGAAAGTCAGGAATCACACTGGCTAGAGCTAAATGTGGTTGCGTGTGACTTAGGCCACATACCGTTGTTTGTGCTGTAAGAAGTTGTCATGATTGAAGGAACAGTGGATGTTTCATCAGCTTCTCTTACCAAAAGTGCCTCTGTCTTATGTTTGCACTTTTGTTCTAAGGCTAGTGCAGAGTGAAGCAGCTTTTTTAGTCCTGGGGCTTTCCAAGGAGAGCCTTGGGCCTTTTAAATAGGGTGGCGCCAGTCTCATTTCCAGATGCATTAGCTCACAAAGTTGTAAGTGATTTGTGTCATGAGTTTTAGAGGTGAGAGGCTCTCTATGTGGTTCTACAGTAGCTGAGATCATCTGGTGAACTAAATCCAGTAGCTTGATAGAGACCAGGGGACCACTGCTGCAACAGCCTTAATGCTGAGCTTTTGGTTTGGAAAGGTTCTTTTCCCCTTACAGCTGCTCAGGCAGGAGCTTGGTGATCTATGGGAAGCACCATATGACTGACCTGTTTTCTCAAGATTTCCTTGGCAAAGAGGGATAAAGTTCAGTGAAAGAATGGGAAATGTTTGGCATCTCAGATATGAAGAGTGAAGTTTGTTCCGTGCAGTTACAAGGAGCTATAGGAGTACTTCATTACAGAGGCTGGCGATGTGAAAGTATCTTCATACGGTCTGGTCAACTAGGCCGTGTTTAATTTTGTACTTATATTTTGCACCATGTAATATGTTTATGTTTCACCACAAAGAGAACTTACTGAGAAAGGAGAATGGCCTCCAGCTTCTGAGAAGGATGGAAATGTGCAGTAGTGGAATGGAACTCCTGTGGTTAAGAAAGGCTTCTTGGGCTGAGCAGGCAGAATTCCCTCGGTAGCTCTTGTATAGCAGTGTGCTTCCTTACGTAGCTGTGGAGAATACCTTAAATACTGCAGTGTGGTTTTATTGGAAGTGTAAGTACTTATTACATCATCTAAAGCAACTGGTGAGTTTGGCAGGGTCACAGTTGCTTATCAGGGCCTGTTTATTGCCTACATGAAAAGAACTGGCCTTTCCTGACAAAACGTAGAAACCCGACATCTCGGAGGCTTTACACTCCCTTTGAGAGCAGCGGAGACAGCAATGCTTTCTTCAAGACATAACAGGGGTTTGAGAGGTGGCCAGGCTATTATCATTTCATTTTGGTGCCAAAAAAACGTTCCTGCTATGAGTAGGAAAGGAATTTGGGAAAGGAAACATGAAGAATGAAGTTGTCACAGGAGTGAGCCTCTGAACAACTACTGAGTTTTACACTAGAATTTATAGTCTGGTTCAGGGCAAATCTTGCCCTTCCTACTCGGACGAGTCTCCCACTGAAGCCAATTAACTCCACTGGAGTCTTGCCTAGGAAAAACTTTGGACTGCAGATATCCAGCTTAATTACAAGACCTGTTGTTTTAAATCGATGTGAAACTAGGATCTTAGAGGAAGAGTAAAAGGTAGATAAAGACATTCAAACATCAAGTATTGAGGCAAAGTTTTGGTGAATACAGAAGAAAATAACATCCTGAAGGTGAAGGTTGAGTCTAAGCACAGTAAACAACCAAATAACTACATCACACTGCAGTTAGGGTCATGGGACCTCCTGGGGGTTACTGTGAAGCCCATCTGAAGTGATGAGACGTGAAAACTCTGGATGTAAACCACTAGGCACTGGGCATGAATACCCACAGCATGGAAAGAAGTGGGAACAGACTGTCCCAGTTGGACTGGACACATGAGATTTGTCATTCCGGATGTTCCATGTGTTTCATCTTCTACTACTTATGGTTAGAAACTCAGAAACAAGAAGCTGAGGTTGTGGGGAACATGATTCATGCTAAATAAATTAATGTCATGGTGCTTCCATATTTTCACTCTATTCAATGCTCTTAACTTTTTATTCCTATTGTGTAAAGAGTCTCCAAATGCACGTGCAGCACAGTTGGAGGTAATGTGTGTGAGCACAGGTGCTAGACTACATTACTTTTACCCTTTGATGGTAAAAATGGGTCCTGGTTTAATGCTTTGATGCTGTCTGGTTCTGCTGTGTCACTTTGACCATGCCAAAATACTTATGGTTGAATTAAGGACTGAAAATGAAATCTTAGTCCATTGGACTCATCAGAATCTCTTCTGTTGCATTTAATCCTCTGAGTTTTGGTCAGGTTCTCCTGTTCATGTACCCCATGCTGCCTCTGTACCTTTTTACTACATAGATTTACCAGTCTACTTGGATTTGATTTACAGAGCTCCTTTACTCCACAGAACTCATTTTGTCAATGTGTCTTACTCAGGATAATTACCTTTATTTGTTCTTAAGGGCACTGGATTTGTCTGGTCTGTTGTGCTCCACGCTAGAGAGAAATACTTTTTAACAACAGGTATCTATGTAAGAATTCCCTTGTTTTCCTCACCTCTTCCTCTCTGCTTTCCGCTCCCTCCCAGCTTTTCAGTAAGGGCCTGGTCTGAAGTTATATTTATTTGAGGAATGTTAGAATAATGTGCAAATACAGAGAGAATTCTTTGTTTCCCAGGAGTGCTTATGTTCATACACAGATGGAGGTGCTGTCACCCAGTTAGGGTGACATGGGATTAGTACCTCAGTGGCTCATGATAAGCACGGACATGGATCTTAAGCTGGTAAAAGTAGGAAAGCTCTCCTGTACCCAAAGGAGCTGTGCTGATTGGTATCAGTTGGAAAGCTGTTTCATATTCCTTATTCTTTCCATTTCTCAGGCAGATCATAGAGCTTCTGACTTACCATCTCTTCCCATGGGCAAACACACATAAGAGAAGGTGTTTCAGGCCAAATAATGAACTGTAGCAGAATACTTTGGTTTTATTATCTGCATTCACTTTTTTAAGCTTACGAGGAAGGCTGAAGTAGATGGAAAACAAATCCAACAGGGAGATGTGAGTTTTGGCTACAAACAGCTTGCAAACTGTGAAGAATTTAATAATAAAAGAAATATTGCTGATTTAGAAAGAAAAACACCATCTCCACAGGCACTTCCCCCACGGTGGGGTTGAAGAACAACAGATAACCAGCGGGCAGGAATGGAGGTCCACGCTGAGAGTGAGAACACTGCCCCGTTGTGAAGATGCCAAAGAGAGTTGGTTTGGTGGCTGTTTGCTGCCCTGGAGCTGGGGAGCCCTTCGGCACAAAGTACTGGGATGCAATGGGGAGAGGAGAAGTCACTGGCTGAACAAGTAGGACTCCGATAGTTTCACTTTCTTCCTTGCCATCCGTGTGTTAAAATCTGAAGCAGCAGAGAGGAGGTGAAGACCTGACATTAATCCCTTGTCAAAGACTGAGATTCCCAATCCAGGTGGCTAAAGCAATGGAGTCTTCACCCTCACCCTGGCTGGCTCCAAAAAACTCCAGGTAGGGTTCTGGGAGCTGATTTAACTGAAGTCCCCCCTGTGGGATTACTTGAGGTTTCTAGCTTAGCAGAAGACAAGGCTGAAAGCACAGGTCTAAGCTTCCACATATGACTCTGCAAATACAAAGTCATAACAGTGCGTGTAGGATAATGTTGTTGATGTTCTGATAGTCTGAAGATTTATGAAAATATCTTCTATTTACTCAGCTGGAAGAAGCCCTGTTCTTCTGGAGTTTGGTTACCCCATAAAGCATTCAGAGGAGACCCCATAATCATTTCAAAGTCAGAAACATTAAGTGGAATAACAAGTATAAACCCGTCCACAGTGCCTTTGAAGTGCAAGAAGCATGTCCTTGTAGTCATTGAATAGTACTGTGCCTTGAGCCGGGGTGGGAGGAAACAGCTCCCAGGCAGTTGTTTCAGGTGGTGAGAAGACCATATTTTTCCTACCACAGAAGAAGCTGGGCTAAAAAAAGCTTGAGTTGGGCAATGAAAAAGGTGATTAAATTCCCACTGAAATTCACAGGGGCTTTTCCCAGGATGCTGATGAGAACTGGATCCAGACCTCAAGCAACGAGGTAAGATGATAAGGACAGCATGGCCCTACATTTTCCAGCTGTCAGGAGCAGGGCACAGCCCCCGTGTTCCCTCCTCCTACAGTCCAGGGCAAAATCCCTCCTGGAAAATGAGATCTGTCTGCAGGACCCTCACCTGAACCCAGCTCTGCCTTTGCTCCTGCCCAAACATGCCTCTTGCAAGACATCCCTGGGAAAGCAGGGTTGCTGCTGTGGAAGCCTGTGATCCAAGGTCAGATTTACAGGGAAGAGGCAAATGACAAGCTGCGGTTATCCCAGCCACCTTAGTGTATGAGTGCATGAGGGGGCTGCTGAGCCAGAGAAAAGGGAGCAGAAGCTGGAGCAACAGTTTAAGCACAGACCTGACATCACCAAAATCACCAAGTGAAGCAGTAAGAAGGCTGGGAAGAAAACAAGCCCCGAGAGAAGGGGAAGGAAAAGGATGGCAGTTCGGTAATACTGGGGATCAGCCCTTCCCACACAGCAGAAATGAGCTCTGCAGCCAGGACAACTCCTTTTCCCTGAGCACCGGCGGTTTCAGGCTGAGCCCAGCCGATGAGTTCCAAGGCAGGAGGATCTGGGAAACACTCCTTTCCAAAGTTCCCACTATGGGAGTGAGGACTCAGCTGGGGCTGGGCCAGGGTAGCCATGAGTGGAGGCCAGCAGACCTGGTTCACCTCCACTTGCTGGGCAAGCCTGCCTCCCTGTTCAGCCTCAGCGCTGGGTTCGTGCCGTTGCTGGCTGATTGAGACTCCCCAGGAGTAGAGGAGCTCCTAGAAGAGTTGTGTGTTTGCTTCCTACAATGAAGAACAGAACGCTGCTGAAAGGCCTTTCTTGTGCTAGCACCTATGGCTGAGTTTCTTGGTTATGTCATGGGCTGCAAACAATGCAGAAGTCCCAGGATTTCAGGAGAAGAATCTATGGGAAGCAGGAGCTAAAGCTTACCAGGCTGTGCAAATCCTACCTAGTTCCTTTGCTGGTTTAAAGGAGGAATTATTCAGTGACCAAAGAACGTCTCATGCATTTCCCTGTTTCCTGCTCTGTAACATAACATTGAGATTAGGAAAACCTCTGTTTCTCCATTTTACAGCTCAGAGAGGGAATGGATGCTCCTCCATCCCATGGTGTGATGGAACCATAGGTGCCAGTGCAAAATGCACAGCAAATAGTGCTGTTGGTCACTGGGCACAGGCAAAGTGTCTCATGTATGGGAAGTAAACGTGTCTCGGTGACAGGTCCCTTCGGAATGCCCAGAGCAGCACTGGTGCTGAGTGGTGCCTTGTGAGAGCTCCAGCCCCTGTGCCACGAAATCCACGTGTCGGGTACCTGGTTATTGCCGCAGGGGCCCACGAGGTGGCAGTAGCAGGACACCGCTGCCCGCTCCGGCGCGGCTCCGGGTAGCGGAGTGATCCATCTCCTTTAAAACAGAGATTCTATGGAAGGTTGGGGTGCGAAAGTGGTCAGTGCAACCGGTAATTTCCACTTGGTTGGGCTCTAACTGTGCAGCTCTTGTCAGGCGCATCACGGGTAAAAAAGCAGTACGGATTTTACTGGGGGTGAGGTTTGGTACCAGACCCGAGGACCAGTGTGTCAGCGTCCCAAAGGCCAGCATCTGCCTGGATGTCACCAGTGATCCATCTCCTGGTCTCCTGCTGAATCCCCTGGCACCAGAGCTGTGTCTAGGGTAAGGGCTGGGCAAGAAAGGATGTTCCATCTTCTCTGCCTCTGCTTTACTGCCTGGACATTTGTATTGTCTGTTTAATTATAGAATCACAGAATGGATTGGGTTGGAAGGGACCTTAAAGCTCATCCAGTTCCAACCCCTGCCACTGACAGGGACACCTTCCACTAGATCAGGTTGATCCAAGCCCTGTTCAACCTGGCCTTGAGCACTGCCAAGGATGGGGCAGCCGCAGTTTCTCTGGGCAATCTAAGACACATTTAGTTGCCGAGTATTAACTAAAACTATGCATTTGTCAAGCCACGGGGTCTGCAGCTTCTTAAATCCTATTTGTGCCCAGGCTGCGCTCAGCTATGGCTGTGCAGGGAGCTGAGAACCGATTTGCTGTGATAGTGGGATGAAGTGTTTCCCTGAGCAATCTCTGTGAGCGCCTGCGGATGAGGCTGTGGGTGAACAGGGGGCACTGGGAAGCTGCAGGCTGTGGATGGCAGCATCTCCAGTTCCCGTCCAACCCCAGCCCTTCTCCAGGTTTCTCTTTCAGAGCATCTGGACTTGGCTTCAGTCCCCGCAGAGACTGAAGCTTTGAGGTTGCCCATTTGGCCCATGCTGCGTGTGGGGTTTGCCACGGGCTGGTACCCGCCTGCTGGTGCAGTTTCCTCCACCACAGCTCAGGGACAGTGCCGATGGGACTCCTGAACAGGAGCAGGTCAGCTGAAACACATCTCATTCCTCCTGGGTGTCCAGCCCAGGAAGCCTCACAGCAGGCAGCTACAGGAGTCCCAGAGTGATGCTAATATTTTGCTTTTATGAACAAATACTTGCAACCAAGCCAAAGTCAGTGCCAGCTCTGCTGGGGGAGAGGACCTAGCATCAGAGGAGGATCCCGGTTCTGTTCTTGGTTCACCGTACGACCTTGCAGATAATAACAGCATTGGTCCCAAATGGATGGGGATGAGGCACTGGTGGCTGTTGTTGATTAAAGGGCAGGATGTGTTTCAGACTCCAGAAGAGTTGCTCCCTCCAGACCTCGCACTGGCCCTCCATCTGGCCAGTTCTTACCTTGTGACTCTGAGCAGGCTCTGCTGACGTGCGCAGTCAGCTTTCCTTGCTGGATATTATGGAAAAGGCAGCCCCTGCTGTCGCTTACAACAGCGTGAAACCTGTGAAAGTGCATTACAGATGTGGTCACAGCACATCCTGCCTGCCCTGCTCCTTCATCCCCTCAGAACAAAGAAGCTTTTGCTGCTTCACGTCAGCTCAACAACCCCAAATGTGGGGCTCTTTCCCACATAAGTGCTCCAAGTGATCTAGTCTGGACAACTACCATAGATACACATAAGCTGACCAAACATCCCAGTTTGTGTCTCCAGGCTGTGGAGCTCATACTAAAGGCTATGGGATACCACGTGCTGGAGGCTGACTGCTCACAGCTCCCTCCCTCCTGGGCGTGTTTTTCCTCCTGGGACACTGCTGGGAATTTGCTGACTCAGTTGGGGGTGATGGGGAGGGAACATGAAGACTGCGTGGTCCAGAGGGGGAAAGGTGCTGAGCACCCAGGTCTGGGAGGAGGTCAGCAGAACTGGATTGTTCTCCAGTCCAGCTCCAGGCAGGTTTGGGCTGTGAACTCTGTGCAGCTTCTGACAGCAGCATTACAGTAATGCTTCTGCACAGCTCTGCATCCAAAATGGGAGCTACCAGGACAAACTTGGGTAAAGGATTGGTCCTGTAGGGAAACATGGCTTTGAATGGTGTTTCATTGTTGGTCGTATCAGTGCTCGTCGATAAAAGATGGGGGGGTTTGACTGATGTAAAAGTTAGCTTAAGTGGTTTGATGAAGCTTTGAGAGCAGCTCAAGAGCAGCTGAGTATGAGACACAAGAAGGGTTAGAGAGCAGAACCCCAGAGCAGCGATGACACGAGCACGTGGGCTCACTGACACAGGAGAAAAGGGGTGTTTTACAGACAAGGTCCAAGGGGCCAGTGGGGCTTGGTCTTGGGATGCTCAGCTCTGTGCCACCAGCCAGT